TGAATATATGTAGAAAATGTGTGTGAATAGATGTAGAAAATACTTCAAATTGCTGAATAAAATATTCCCAGATTCTTAGGTTCCTTTCACATAATTTTTAGTTCTTAAAATAGTCCTGTGAAAGTGGTGCTTTTATCTTTTCTGTGCAACGATGAACTTTTATGTTGGAAAGTGTTGAAAGTACTCAGATAGTAAAGCTTAGATTTTTGTTTTGTTTGGCAGTACACTTCTGTTTAGAATTCTTTTAATCTATCCATTCCCTGCTTTTATATTCATCTGATAGTTGAAGGTTCTGTGAAGGATATTTCTTTGTATATGAACTTATTAAACCAATAATGCTCAAAAGTGTGAGATTTACTTCCTTTTTTTTTTTTTTTACATCATAAGATAGGCTCTTGTTTGAGTTTTTAAATCTCTATTTGCCTTTCTTGAGTTTTTTTTGGGGGGAGGGCAGAGAAAATAAGAAACAATTTATATGGTAGATCTAAAGTTTCATTAAAATTGCTTATGCCCTGTCCCAGGCATTTTAAGTGGGCCATCTGTCTAAACATCTCTCCATTTTTTTTCTGATCATTTCCTCGACTTATTCATGAGCCATGGGAGGGCTCCTTTGTAGTCTCCATGTAGCTGGTTCAGTCTACCCCCACTGAATACATCTATGTGCTTGCATAACATATCTTTTCACAGTGCTGGAAATTCTCTGAACTTGGTTCAGATGAATGGCCCACTTTCTGAAGGTCTTTTTTTCTCCCCCTGCAAAGATTTGTATGCAGAAACTGACCTTGGTGGCTACAGAATCCAGCACATTATTCTTGATCATTTTACAGGCCACCTGCTGTGAAAGTTATGATGAAGGATTTCTTAATGATTCTTTGACCATTAACATTGTTTTAAGTCAATATTTCACTTTTATTTAACTGCTGAATAGGTAATTGCACAATTGAAAAACAGCTTTACGGAGTGTCATATAGTGTGGTTTTTAAATGCTTATAATCTTTCATAACGGGAGAATTTGTTACGATAGTTTGGGATTTCTCTGTGTTTACGTAAAGTATTATGCAGCAAAAATATCAGAAGAGAAATTGTAAGTTTCCCTCCCTCCCACCCCAGTGTTAGAAATCGCATTTTGAAGTGCAAGTAAAAAAAAAAATCTATACTCAATTTCCTGACCCTTTAGGAGCTGGTGACATTTATCATAGCTCATTACATCATCAACAGTAATCAGGAGAGGGGAGTTTATTTGCCACAAACTGCAGAAAATTGTAGTTTTATTGAGTTCCTTCTATCTGATTGGTTGATGACAATCAAAATGGACAGGCCAGGGCAGAGTTATTACTTGACTTGCTTTTGTGAATGTCTGTTTTCTTTCATTATTTGTTTTTGACTAGAACAGATAATAGTTTAACTAGTGTCTGTTTTCCATGAGCACAGTAAGTGTGCGTCCAGCTAAAATTTTTAGCGGTTTTCTGCTTTCCTCACTGAAAACTTGCAAAGAAAGCAGGAGCTACAATTGCTGCATTATTATAAAGTATCTTCCTCTCTCCCGTGGCAGTTGGGAGTAAAAAGGACATAATACACTGTGCAATGTATGAAATAAATTATGGTACCATGACATCATCTATAGTTGAACAAGCAGCAACAGAGGTTGAAAATAAATAACTGAGCAGGGAAGCACTGGTGGTTTTCTTCTTGCACCATTTACATGTTTTTGTAACTTCAATGCTTTAGAGTAATGCCTTTATGACTTAGAGCAAGGACTATCACTGTACTCTTCGTCTGTGCCCCTGTTGCTCGTGACACTTCTCTTTAGAAGGCAGTATGGAGTAGAAAGGTTCAGAACTGCCCATTTCTGTATGTATGAGTTTGTAATACCCTTCTCCACCCACCTTCTGTTGTTGCAGCCATGGCGCTGCCTTTGCTCTCTCCTCTTTATGTGTAATACTCCTGGCAAGGGACAATAGCACACAGTGCCTTGTGGCCCTGCTTCCCATTCACCTGGCACTCATTTTTTTGCTAAACTTGTGTTTTTTCCTTCAGCTGGTGATCTTTATATGTAAAGAAAGTAATTTTTTAATGATACATCATTTGCCAAAACTGGGAGAAGAAAGGGAGGGCATGTTAAACCCTATGAAAGACATATTGTGTGGATTTTGAATCTAGAGTTGGAGGGGAAATGCCTTTAGTTTACTGTGTCTTATGATGGTAAAAATGACTCTTTTTTTTCTTTCATTTCTTTTTCTGTAAATAGAATATGTCAGATTTCAGCCCAGTAGAATTAGAAAAGTTTTAAAATTTTGAAAATAGCCGGAAGTTTGGGGAGTTTTCGGTGAACTATTGGAAAATATATTCATATGTTTTCCCTTTGGAGGACTTAGAAGAGTTCTCAGCTAAGGAAGCAACCTTGGCCAAGAACAAAGAGATTATTTGCCGTGCACTGGGACTTCTCAGATATTACGCCGCACCCTCCCTCCTCCCAACAACAACACAACCTACCAAAAAGCCCCTTTCTTTGCCTTATAGAAACTTTTGCATTTCTAAAGTAGTTCACAGATTTGAGCGACTTTCTTTGCATATCCAAGAAACTTGGACTTTGATCTTTATTTTTGGACTTGTGATCTTACTAATATGAAAAAAGCACCCCTCTGAATCCTGTAAGAATAGAGACTAGTGCAAGATAATTTATTTGAAATCAATTTGATTTAATGAAGAAAAAGTAGGATTCTCATGAGCTGATGGAAGTATCTGTCTTAGCCAGTGTAAGTGTAGGTTAAAGTTACAAAGCCACAGGCGTTTGATTAGCAAAGCTGAAAAATGGCCCTGTGCAAATGGATCTAGCAGTTCCAGGAGGGAAGTACAACTTGCCATGTACTTGGTATTAGATGCAGCTTTGGACCTTGCCCTCCTGACCACCAGTGTTGCAGAGAGAGGAATTACATGCCTGTGTGGCTGTTTGAAACCCAGGCAAAGCAGTGATCATAGTCATGCCTTTCAAGAGGCATGCATCCTGTTTGGAGATACACTTGACAAAGCTCAGCAAGACAGGACCGAACAAAAATAATCCCTGCTGGAGAACAAGGCTGTCTTTCCTTTGATGGCCAGCAGCCAGATTCATGAGGTCACTTCCAGTCAAAGGCAATATGAAGCAAAGCTGTGCCAGCAAGGTTATAAGGAATTTCATGCCACCAGTGAAGTGGATCTACTAAGCTATGTTTGAGATGAGGTCTTACCTCTTATACAAGAAATATGAAGTTGCTATAAACCACTAAATCCTGTTGGTTATTGCAGTGGGCTACCATGGAGAATTTAGCTAGGCTGTGCCAACCCCCTGCTACATTTCTCCTGACTGATGCTCTGATACCAGGAAGTGCAATGCAAACACCTCTCAGCTTGCTGCCTGCTACCTGTGCAGGAAATCCCTGTTCCTCTTCTTCAGGAACTCCTGTGTCTGTCGCGTTTCCTATCAGCCAGTCTAAATGTTTTGGTGACATGCAGGAATTTCAAGACGAGGTGCTGAGAAATGTCAAGGCACCCAATAAACCATAGATACTTCCTCAGATTTGTTGTTTTGACAGTTGTCACTGTATATTAAATGAAGAAGGTAACACGTGGCACCATTAGTATAGGAACAGGTTATTTTCAGTATCTGTTTTATGAACTTTGTGAGTAGTGATAGTTAAAGGCTAGCTAAGATGTTTGGTGAAATCTGGTGTAGGCCTTAGATCCAGAATTAACTAATGATAGGTATGTAACTATTTGTCAAGCTAATAGATTTAGTGTTTCCATTTCCCCTTTTCAGGCACGTTGCAAGGCACAGTTTTTGGAAACTCCTTGCCTAGTTAGGTACCTGAACTTGTACTTGCTTAGATTTCAGGTGTCTAAAAAGCCAACCTTACTAAAACAGTGGTCGAAATCCTTTGTAAGTCAGTGTGTTATTCTTAGCTTAGGCAGATAATTTCTCCTCCTGTGGCCTCTGGAGGCCTCACAGGTGCTTTTTTCCCTTTTGATTCCACAGGGAACCTAACCAATCCCTTTCAGGAGATGTGGTTCACAAGTCAGTGTGGAAGAAAGGCTATAACAAAATGATGTGTCTTTGTTTAATGGAGTTTAAACTCCACTTTTGCACCTTCTCTTTAGGCTACCTGGTGCTTCCTGGTGCTAATATATGGCATCCACTCATCAGAAAAGTTGCAGCATACCTTTGGACACTGGTTGTAACAACGAAGTAGAAGAGACTTGAGAAGTTAGGATGAGGAAACTGAAATCGAATATACATTTAAGTAAAATAGCTGAAGATTACTTGTTTCACTCTGAACTTGCAAAAATGGAGACTCAGGTCTCATTCATTAGCTTTAAGCAAAAGTTGAAAAGATTCAGGTTTCTTGTGTTACCCAGTTACTGGTGCAGTCACTGAATGCTGCAGGAATAGGTATAATCCTGCATGTAGGCCGTGATGATGTATCATTATTTTTTTCGGTTTGCTTGAAGGGCTCTATGCATGAGATAATCTAAAATGTAGATTAATGATAAAAATACTTTTGTTACTTGTTTGGCTGAATCTTTTATCTGTAATTGGCCTTTAATTAAAGTTTACTGAAAATGAGATGAAAGAATAGTTATTATATTTTGCCCTTAGAAAGTATGCTACAGCTCTCACTGTTGCTATTCCCCTGCCAACCCACTTTCTCATCTGCTTTTCATCCTGTTTGAGCTAATTCTGCAGCAAGTGCTGGCTGTATTCAAGAGGCTCCTATAACTTTATCAGCATACCCAGTGTGTCAAGGCAAATCTAGAAAGAAAGTATAGTGTATTTTCTCCTTATATGCCATTTGACAGAAAAATGTATTTAGGTTTTTTTTTCAAGTATGCTTTCCAACTGTGTCTATAGATTAATGATATTTTATATCCTTCATGACCATCCTATGAGGCAAGTGCTTCTGGTTAAAATGGGAAAAGCATGAAATATCTGTTAAAAATTCTTCTCCTGTCTGTTTCTTTTTTAGAATTCCTATTGCTAAATCAAAGAGAAGTAGCTGGGAGCTCTCTGTGCGTCTAGGAGATGGAAATTACCCCATTGCAGTTTCAAAGGATGGCTCATCATTTTCTGTAAGTTCTGCTCATTTTCAAAGAATTTCAGTGTATTGAGTCTGTATATTATCCTTGACACCTACTAAAATTCTCTGTTCAGTGACCAAACATAGATGTTTGTTTTGTCTTTAGGCATTGCTATGAATTGCAAAACAAGGCTCTCTATGTTAATTAAGTAGTGTTAGTGTACAAAGATTTTTCTCTGCTCATGCCTGTGGAACACTTTTGTATCTATTGTACTTGTTAGTTTTCTAATTAACAACTCTGTTTAGTGTCTTGTTTAGAAGTAAGGTCTTGTGCTCCATTGTAGATATATGAGAGCAAGAAAATAAGTGCAATGTCAACAAAAATTACATTATCTTAATTTTAGTGATTAAAAAAACAAATCAAAGAACGAAGCAAGTTGAATACGTAATCACACTGGATTGGAATTATTCAGTAGTAAAACTGTATGTGGTCACAGTAAAATGCCAGTGTTTCAAGATGTGCCTAGGTCACTTCAGAGGAATGTGTATAAACTATTGCTTTTACAAATATTCTAAGATAATTAGTTAAGCACTGAATGTTGTCAGAATGAAAAGCAGAAAGATAGATCATGACAGTGAATGAAAGGTAATGCAGTGTTCAATTGTTCAGTGGAATAGAGCCAAAGTACAAGTTGGTTGGAGTATTGAGAAGGTAGATGTATAGAGAGAACTACTTCTTAAGTCTCTTAATTCCACAACCAAACTGAGATTTTTTAATTATTTTTTTAAATAAACAGTTGACTTAGAGAGTGTCTGTTGACTCTTAGGCAAAAGTTTTCAAAGAGATGTAAAGTCAGTTTTTCTTAGAATCTTGGAAAAGCAGGACTATGAGGAATCCCAGAAGTCCTCGAGTTTGCCTCTGACAGCTGTTTACTCTTCTTGTATGTCTGTATTGAAGAAACTTCTGCAACATCTGCTCCATGACACTTTTATAGTTATGATGGTCACACCTATGTTGCATTCAGAATCATGAGATTTCTCTGAAAAAGGACATTTAAATTAACTTTTCATATAATGAAGACAGTATTATCTCAGTGATTCACTTCTGCTCTAGTGAAATTTCAGTGTAGAAGACACGATTTTTAGTTGAAACTGGTCATCTTTTTATGTGATTATTTTCACTTATGAGGTAATGAAAACCTAGCTTTTAAAAAATCTTTTTGTTGGCTTAGATGGGGCAAGCCTAACCAAAATTCTTTTTAATACTACCTTTACTTTTGTCACACTGTATTTTACATATTTTCCCATTCATCATGAGTATATGAATAGAGTGCAAGGATACTTTCTGTTCCATGTGGATCATAGGTGCACTGTAAAAAGGATATTGAGAAGATCGGTCATTGTGGTCAGTACCTTTAAAAAGTTTCTCTTGCAAGTGTACTACTTAAAGTGTGAAATAAGGCAGTTGTTGTAGTGTTTCTTTTAGAAAGCCAGGAAGTCTTAAACAACTGTTTACTCGGTACTTAATACATAGTGTTGCTCCATGGCAATGACATTCATCCATCCTACTTGGGGAATGGTGCATCAGTAGAGAAGGCCATGCATCTTTTTACTGAACTAAATTTATATAATGGCTTTAACAGGCATCTTGTGAACTTGAATACAACCCATTGTTCAAACAACAAAACATCTCTGCCAGATTTCAGCCCAATTTAGAGTTGGACTGGCACTGATTTGTATGGCAGAGATAGCCTTCCCAGGAATAGTCATTACCCCCAGCCTTTCTACCTTTTTGTTGCTGTGTCACTATCTTAACAGCGGTCAGCCTGGAGCTGCCTGCTGCTGTGAGGAAGATACAGGGTGGCTGTTGGTTGCTGTGGGTGTTGCACAGGCCCTTTCTGCTGTGAGCTCAGAAATCTAATTCCCATAGCTGGACCTTCCTGAACTAGGAGTTTTAACACAACTAATTAGACAGTGTGCATATGTACACAGGTATTTTTTGAGATATATGCTTCAGTTTCATTTAGACACCTAGGCTCTTGCTTATACTTGCTTGCATAATTCAATAGATATATCTTAAATTGGGAAAAGTTTACAGACAGAGGAGGCCTAAGCATCCTTTTATGCTTCTGTCTCTATTGAGTGTGAAGGTAACTGAAAGTACAAGCTTGTATATGAGTTGGTCCTAAATTCCACTTGCAGCGGAGCAGCTGAGTTGTAAACTGCACTGTGTTTCTCCAGGAGGTATGAACTCTGAGAAAGGATGCCAAACGTGTAAAGTTATTGCTGCTAGTTTTATCATTTTGACGTGCAGAATATCATTCTGACCTATATCACAGTCCAAACCTGTGTGTCGGTTTAAATGAGACTGCCAACAGTTCTGATGTCTTGCAGCAGTATGAGCATTACAGCTAGTATAAGCCCAGTTTTACAAGGCATATATGTAATCTGATTTCTAGTCCTTTGGTTTGTTGTTCAAACAATAACAAATGTGGAGATTCCTGCTCATGTCCTTGCATCCTTGCGGTATCCTACTGCTGTTACCTTTCCCTACTAGGTAAGGAGGCAGGAGCTGCCCTGAGGAGCTGAGCACCCCCCAGTGTCACCGGTCAAGGGATGCCTAGGCAGTAGGGAGGAAGTAGGGGTGCCGAGTAGGACAGGCTGTGTGCCCTAAAGGTTGGGCGGGAGGGTCTAGTTGACACAGAAGCATTTGCATTCTGATTCTACCCTAACCAAGTCTGTATACTTGGGGAGAGAGAATTCCTTATTTATTTCTATGTGGAAAATTCCTTAGCTGGTGAAATAAATCACAGTAGGTGGATTTCACTGTGACCACTTAAAGCTTAAGGTATAGTGTATTAAAATGAACTCCCGAGCTTGGGTTTGTAAAAAGCAGATAAGTGTTTTTGAGTACCAGAGTTGTTTTGAGTTACACTTATTTTTCATTGTAACTGGATAAATAGCAGAGGAAATGCAGTTGGGTTTTTTGTTTGTTTGTTTGGGGGTTTTGTTTGTTTGTTTGTTTTTTGTATGTTTGGTTGGGTTTTTTTGGGGGGGTTGGGGGCCTCTGTGATTTGACTGCAGACGAGAATATAGTAAATACAGTACAGTATTTACTTCTGAATTATTATTCAAAAGTCTTCTGAATTATTTTTCAAAGCTTTACAATGGAAAAACAATTGCCATAAAACTTCAAAGAAGAGAATTCAAAGACTAGAAACAAGAAATTTTGTTTCTGATCAGGAGGTATAACATACCATCAGGAAAAAAAAAAAAAAAGGAGAAATCCAAAGCTTGCTTTGTTAATTTTGCTGTCAGAAACACCAGCCTCAAGTTTTGAACTTCTGCATTTACTTTTTGCTATTAAGTTGGTGTTGACATGGGCTCCTAACTTTGTGGGTTGTGTCTCCTTGTGGCTTGTGACAAAGATAGCTGAATCTGTGGTGCAGTTAAATAGCCCAGTGGGAGGGCCACCTTCACATTCCCTTCAGAAGTTTACTCCTCCTGCAAACTGTGCATTGCAGCAGCAGTGTTTGCATCCTGATTTACTTTTTTTTTTTTTTTTTTACCACTGGGACTCTTCCAACAGTGACTCCTTTCTTTCTTCCTTAACTCTTCTGCTCTGGCCAGCCAAAACCTCACCATGTCACAGTGTGCAGAGCATTGCTCTCTGTGCAGGGAGTGTGAGCAGCAGGCTCCTTCGTGGTTCCCGCTGTTTGCGAGCAGATCATTCGTCAGCATCTCAGTCTATGGGTCATCTGTGGTTTTCTTCCTTTATCACAAGAATCTTAATGAATTGTGCAGTATTAACTGCTCTTTGCTGCTCTTTATTTTTCAGGATTTTGAGTTTTGTAACAATCTGGTTTTAACCACTTTATTTGTAACAGAGGTCCTTGGTGCAAACTGGCTTTAGGCTACTGTGGAGGTCTTGCTTCCCCGAACTGAAGGATTTTAAAGATAAGTGGTCGAGAGTGAGCAATACTGTTTGCCTGAAGCAGTGCAAACAGAAATACTAGTTTTCTTGCTTCCAGTAGAGGTTAAAAACTTTTGTGAATACTAATTTGATTTTTTTTTCCTTAAATTTAAAATAGAAGTAGCTCTGTTGTTATTCTGAAGCCAGCAACATAAATGCTAATACTTAAGTTTGTATAAAATCAGTGTACTGGAATTTACAGTATCAGACAGTTGTTTCTCATGATACCCTATCAACATAACAACAAACACTTTATCAATTAAAAGATTCTAATGACCTGATTTGAAAATTAAAATTTAACAACTTTGAGATTGGCTGTCTGTTGTAGCAAGAACTCTCCAACTAAATTAATGCAGATGTCATTTGTTCTCTTTTTCTGTGTTCTTTGTCCTATATATGTCAATTGCTAGAAGAATCTTTAAGCTAATTGTTTGTCATATATATACATTTAGTTCTTTGGAGGACAGGGTCAGATTCTGGGCTTTGATTAATATTCTTCTCATGCTTAAAATTTTTCCTCTCATCAATGGAGTTAAAGATCTTATGATGAAGATTACTGCTAAAATAGAATTTGAAGGAAGAATACCCTCCTTTACATAAGACTAATGTAAACCAGCAACAAACAGCCGAGAAGCATCCTGCCACCAAATTCTGGAATCTTTTGTTTAGTTCAGTTTCAGACGGGAATCTTCTTCATCTTGCTGTTTTTGAGTGCCAGTCTGTCTGTGAAATGTGTTAATTTTATAATTTCATTGATACAAAGACTTGATCCAGTTTTGCTTGTGAAGGTTGGAGTCTGTCCTTTCTTTACAAGCTTGAGTGTTTTCAAACAAAGGGCAGGAGAGACAAAAGCAAACAGGAACTTACATATATTGAGCAAACCTGATAGCTGTGTGGTTTCCCTGCACTGTACTCAATTGACCCTTCAAAGCCAAATGTCAACCATCAAGGATACTCTAGATCCATGTGACGGTGGCTTTGTTGCCTGTTTGCAGACTTTCACTCGTGTCTGTTCACAGCCAGTGTGAAGTCCCCTTGCTAATGGTATGCTGGAGGGGAGCTGCCCTCCCCTGCCATGG